ATTGAACTATATATTCGCGGGACCATGAATTTATTGGCGGGTTAGCTAACTAACATTACATCTTAAAAATCTAATGATAGCCCATCTTTGATCCTTTAGTGTAGATAATATCGTTTGTTAATCATCTTTTAAGACATCAAACGACCAACTAGACATGGATTATCCGGAAGTAAAACGCCTAGGAAAGATGCTGTGTCTAAGAAAAGCCTATGAACACACAGAAGAATACAAATCAAGACACTACTAAAATAGAAAAGTCTATATTCTTCTTTGCACAATATCAGCGTGGGTACTGGCGACTATATGGGGGCAGCACAAGTTGTTCGGAAGTGTCCGGTCTGATTACAGCGGCTGCAATGCACAACTCGTTTCGTGCGACTACCATCTTCTGTGCGAATTCGCCTTTTCCTCGGTCGTCCAGGTGGTCGAAGCGACTTTGGCGGGTTAATAACCATCCACATATCCGGGTTACCTTCATTTGGGAATCCAGCCATCTCCTTCCACAGAGTTCTATCTGGAATTGGATGAATCGTCTCTGAGTAGGCTTTCCGATAATTTGCCACTGTGAAGCAACTCTCAGTGAACCGATAGACATGTTGCCTGCAGGACTCGAGGGCTGCTGCGGCATGAGAACATGGCAATCCACATAGCTGCCATCCACGACATGAGCAACAACGGGTACGAATGTCCACCGTGACTGATCCTTCATGAGTTCTAACTTCAAATTCAGCTTCATTTGCACGGATCACATTGTAAGTACGAGCAAGCGCAACTGCATCTAAAACACACTTTTCAGCAGAAGGAACGAGTATGCCCGTCCACTGCATGCTCATCTCACGACGCTCATTGAACCAAGTCATCAGATGCCGTCTGATACACTCCATCATCTGAATTATTGGAAGCCCAGATGCTTCTACTATCCAAGAATTTATAGACTCAACCATATTAGCCGTCAACTGCCCAAACCTTGTTCCCTCAAAATATGCTGTTGCCCACAAGCGGGGAGAAATTTGTTTAATCCAATGGGCTGCTTCCTGTGATATAGCTTCAATCTCGAGAAGTTTTTGTTCAAACCCAATGCCAGTAAGAGCATAAGCAGCCTCCCAGAGAAGGTTAACAAGCAGGGAATTATTAAATTCCTTTCGTAAACTTTCACTTAAATGGCGCATACAAAACCCATGAAAGGCAGTTGGGAAGTTTAGTTCCACCCCATCAACAATACCCTTCTGTCTATCAGACAAAATGGTAAGCCTTGGCATGTACTCTGCATAATTTTCAAGGAGGACACGGAGCTCAGAGAGAAACCACATCCAATTTTCATCATTCTCTTCGTCAACCACCCCAAACGCTAATGGAAACAGAGATCCATCTCCATCAAACCCGGTGGCAAAAAGCAAAGTCCCAAGATACTTACTTTTCAGATGAGTTCTATCAAGCCCAAGAAGAGGCCGGCAGGCATTCAGAAACCCGTATATAGATGCATGTAATGAAACAAATAGGCGTTGGAAGGAGCTATCATCCGGACTACCATAAACCTGTGCAATGCTTCCAGGATTGGTCCTTCTGATCTGGTCACAGTATTGAGGAAGAAGTCGATAATCTTCTTCGAAGGATCCACGAACAGCTGCCATGAGCCGTTCCTTTCCCCTCCATGCCTGCTTATACGACAATGCAATGCCATGGACTCGATGAATCTCTTCTAGTATCTCTTTTGGTTTGTAATTTGGATTTTCCCTCAAGCGTTGTTCCACAGAATCTGCAACCCACTGGACTGAGGCTTGTTGGTGACCAAGATGGGTGATTCCACCACAGGTGTGTTCTTCATGGATGGTCCTTATCGTGAAAGTAGGAACACCTGGCAGCTTTGCAGCATGAATTCGCCAAGCGCATCCTTCAGTTGCACACTTGGCAGTGAAACGAGTCTTGTCAGACTTGACTGTCTGCATCTCAAAGCGAAGGGCAATAGCAGCATCTCTCAGTGCCCTTCGACAGCTCTGAACATCAGGAAACTCTTGCCCAACAGTCAGCTGGTGATTAGTTGTCAAAGCAAGAGATCGATACTGAAGGACAGGAGGAGTATCTAAAAGGTGGGAGTGCTGCATACCCATGTCCGAGTCAGGTACAATACCCATCTCCTGATTTTGATCCATCGTTAAATCCAAATTTTCGTGAAGATCATGGTCCTCCACAACAGACAATTCGTGATTATCTGATAAACCCAACTCATGAGTAGCCACGGTAAGAGCAAGGTCATTCTCATTGTCGTCATCAACATTCTCCTGATCAGTTTCAACCCCAATATCTTGCTCCAACTCCAAACCTTCTTCTTCAAGATTTTGTATACGCGTATGTTGAAGACCTATCTCATGTTCATTTGTCTGATTGAAAGCCAATCCATGATCATGGGGATTCCTAAAACCCTGCTTACTGTCATGACTACGATGACCTAATTCCAAATCCTGCTCATGGTCATGCCCCAACGCAAAGTCATGACTTTGACCTAGCGCCGGATTGTGATTCTGCCCCAGTCCAGGATGTGAATTCTGCCTCAATGGTAGATCACCATTCTGCCCGAGAACCAAATTATGGTCCGCCATTACAATTTCAAAGACCAACAGAATCACCCCCCACCAATACAATCAAATGCCAAACTTAAAAGCTGAAAATTTTCTGCCCACTTTGTGTTTCTGAGTAGACCTGTGCCACAAAGAATGCATATTTGAATCAAATTAATGTTCTTTTTTACCACTGACACTGAAAAAACGGATATACAATCCAATCTAGAGCATCATTTTATCACAAAAATTTGTTTTTCGATGCAACTTCATTTGGGAATCAGTGAAACTACAGTCGATACAGATTGAGATCAGCACACAGTACCCGCCTTTCAGGAATTCCTAACGAATAAGCTAAAAAGGTTTTAAATTGAAGTATGAAACTCAACATGCTATATTATACTCTAATCGGGCTGCTTAAAACTCATAAATCCTCAAGCAACTGAGATTTTCTCAGCAACCAAACAGATAATTTTCAATGAAAAATAAATAAATAAATAATTGAAGTGCTTTAGAACTTACAGAAACAAAGTCTGCCCAGAAGCTCAAACAGAACTTGCAAACTGAACCTGCAAAAATCACAAAAAAAAAAAAAAAAAAAAACAAATAAATAATTAAAAATTAAAAACAATCAATCAAGAAACTTTAGAGATGGATTAGATATACAACGGTAGAGATTGCATCTAACACAGTTAAATAAAAGAAAATAAAATCATTTCAAAGAAAAACAAGAAAAAGAAGAGCAGAGAGAGAGAGAGAGAGGGAGAGAGAGGGAGAGTGAGGGGTTTGAGTTTGGCGGGTGGGGCGAGAGGGAAAACAAACCTGAAGGGGGGAGAAGGGTAGAGAAGGGGAAGGCACAGAAATTTTGCAGGGGCAATCCGGGGGCAGCGAATGGACTTCGGCAGACTCTAGGGTTAGCCAATTTGAAGGGTATTTATGTCATCCTGTTTTCCCTTCTCCTTCAACTTTTTGATATTCCGATATTGCCACCGTTTCTCTCTTTTCTATTATCTTTTGAGAACTATTGGTACTATAAAAGAACGTGATAATTCATTTTATTACAAAACATGTAAATTTTATTGCTGTAAAATAATGTGATAAGTCTATCTATTATGAAGTTCACGTAAATCTTATTACTATACAAAAATGTAGAAAATTCTGGTACCATTACTATAACATCTTTGTTTTCTTGTAAGAAAATACTATAAAAATAATCATAATAATTTAGTCCATTACAAAATTCACATAAACCTTACCATTATAGAATGTGAGAACTCTGTTTATTAGAGAGTTTAAGTAAATGCTATTACTATAAAAGAACGTCTTTATTCAGTTTATTACATAATACAATTGATCATACTATTATAAAAAATGTGATAACTTTCTGATGCAAAATCCATGTAAATCGGAGTGCTATAATAAAATGTTTAAACCAAAACATCTTCACTTTGTTTAAAGGAAAGAGAAATAATAAATACAGACCGTATTTAGCTTCTCACACACTCATGTTTAACTATGTCTGTTGTTTCCGCTGATTTCTTCACTTTGACAACCATGAACAAAGAAGGACGTGAGAAGCTAAAAGTGTGAAAATCATCCTTTTAGAAAAAATACTATATAAAATTATAAATTAGAGTACCAAGATAAATAAACAAGTTTATTTGTATTAATTTTTATGTTGTGTGGGACCTTCACTCACATCCATATAGATAGCGAGAGGTTGAGAAATAATTGAGTTGGTGGGGGTGGGAGGGCATTAAAGTAAAAGAAGCGATGGTTGGATGGTATGGGCGTTGTTTGGTGGAAGATGAGGGCTACGACCAATAGGGGCAGTTACCAATTAGGGGAGAGTCAGGGGCACTTGTGTAGTTCTTCCTTCTTCTTCTCGGTTTTTTTGGGAATTTGCCTTTTTCAATTTGGGCCCACATTGACAGTAACTTTTCCATTTTTTTTTTTCACTCCAGTAAAATGTTATTGAAAATGGAGAGGATGTGGAGAAAATATTCAATTAGTTTTTACCACTAAAATGTTCTTCTCTTGATGTTGATGCGTGCATATCATGGTGTTCAATTAAGAATGTCAACGCAATCAGCCACCGCATAGTATGTGGATTGTACGAGAATAACTTACATAAAATAGGTTCACTGTCACATGACGTTCCGATTCAATAATACATTTATACACATAACATTAGATTATTGAACAAATGACAGCACATGATAGTCAGCCCGTTTCATGTAAACCCTTCTTATAATTGTAGGCGTATAGCATTGCCACTCAAAAAACCGAGGAGAGGGTTAAAGTTATGTATGGAGAGTGATTTCCGCAATCCTCCTCTTTTACATTATATACTCATCTCCTCAATTGTGTCTCTCGATTCTACAAGATTGTCTAAACAAAAAAGGGGGGAGGAAGGAAATGCAAAAGTGAAAATGGAAGTGCCAATGAAAGAATGATGTATGATATAATAAAACCCATAATAAATAAGATTCAATTTTGCTTCTTTTACACGAAATATCAGGCCCTAAAGCACCTGAACAACAACAATAAGGAAATCATTTCCACACGCTATTTTTACCCGCTCATGTTTATTTTTGTCCCTTGATTCTCCTTTTGATTCATGCAAAAGGAGAAAAACATCGGTGTTAAAATTACTTCCCTAACAATGTCGAAAAGGTGAAAAGAATAAAACAACTACGCACAAGTGTGTAGAAAATCTGCTTGCAGAAACCTGGAAAGCAAGGCCATCTCATGCCAATTGCCAAAGCACATACTAGAAGCACCAATCAATACCCTCGCCTACAACATTGACTGAATCAATAGATGAACTTCAAGGCTTCAAGCTATGCAAGCTCACTGACTCCTGCTCGAAACTCATGTTTTCCCCCGAAAGTACTCAATTTCATGGTGGTAGAATTCCAAGGGTGTAATTAAACTGGAGAATCAAGTAGCTCCAATTGCTATAAACCTACTGTTGTTATGATCTATCAAAAAGGCACTTTTCTTTCTAACTGTGCAGATTTAAGCTTAGGAAGCAATTCGGATACCACCTTCTGCAAGGATACACAATTTAACCGGTTGTCACTTCCATCTGCGACCAAATTTGAGAGAGATGTAATTTCCTCGACACCAAAATTTTCATCAATTAACTCATTCCAAAATTTGTCATTCTGCTTGAGATTAGATGCACTTATAAGTTCTATTACTTTCTCCAAGGTTGCCACATTCCTACCGGCACCACAACCTGTGGCGGTTGCAGCACCTACAGCATTTGCAACTGCTAATGTGTTAACCTTCGGCATATTGTGGATAAAACCATACGCAATCGCAGCCACGAAACTATCTCCACACCCAACAGTGTCTACGACATTTACCTGTCACATTTCAGTATAAGAACTAAGTATTCATTGGTGTATCAGCCAATAAAGAGAGTTGGAATTGAATTCAAACAGGATACAACAGAATATGAAGGTACTCCTATACGCACAATTACTTTTGGCCAAAAGATATCATCTACCTAATACTCTTATTTGTAGGAAGGTTCAAGCTACATACATGCACAAGCACGAGCACACAGAGCAAGCAGATGTATCTCGAGCATGTATAACACTTTTGGAAACCTTTTCTTTTCATTGTTGTGGTTAAAAACTTAAATATAACAAATATGATTTTGGCGTGAAAGGGCGTGCATGATGGCAAACAACATGCAATGTACAAAATTTGATCCAAAGTTAGATGTAGAACAAAAAAATCTAGCAAGAATTAATAAACATGCACGAGTCTGATATCATAAAACAAGTAAGCTAAAAGTTCACAGGCAATGTCATAAGAAAATGTCAAGTTAGAAACTGATACCTCAAACGCTGGTGCGCAAGAAATACTTGACCTAGTTATTAGAATTGAACCCCTTGGACCCATTTTGACAATCACCCATTTTGTGAGCACCCCTTGCTTGAGCAGCTCCTGCCCTGCTAATACTGGGTTTTTAATGCCCGTCAATGACTCAGCCTGGAAATCATTAATATCATCCCGATGTCTTAGAAAGCAGCAAGACAAGAGAAAAACTTCGCACACTATAAGATAGAGTAAATTAGCATAAGATTAATAGTGGGTAACAGTATATCAAACCTCATCAGAAGTTAGAAGAAGAACATCACTTATCCTCAACAACAGGTTAAGTGCTTCGCGTTCTTCTGTTGTACCAGCAGAAAGGCTTTTACCACGTGGTCCAGGGTCGAAGAAAATCGATGTACCAACTTCGACAGCATACTCTACAGCTGCAGCTATTACACCCGGAGAGAGTTCATCAAAGCCATAACCATTGCAGAACAGAATCTTAGACTGTTTTATAGCAGTCTTTACTTGTGCAGATAATTTGCTCATCCAACTGAATGCAGGCTCCTTACTGAAATCAGCTCGGCTGATAAAAGAAACCAAGTCAATTCAGATTGCCATTCTTTACAAAGGAGATGAAATTACTTAAAGAAAAGAAAATTGTGGAAAATATTTACCTGCAAAAACCATGTCTTTGCAATGGATCGACGAGAACCCAGCACAAAAGTGTTTCATATGATGCAGCTGAACTGTCAACATTGGTATTGTTGTCACTCATTCCAACCATGCTAATTCCTTCATCTTGAAGAACATCTAAAAGGAACTGTCCATATACTTCGTTACCCACGTGCCCAATCGCGATGCAATGAAGTCCTAGTCTTGCAGCTGCTATGGCCATATTGCAGTTTCCACCAGCTTCCCAGTATTGCTACATTTCAAACCATATAATCAAATTCGGAAAACTTATCCGCGGAGATGCATATCATCTACATAAGATTGGAAGTATTTTACACTGTTCTTCATAGAAACTACTGCATAATGCAAAGCAACATTTACAAAACAGAGAACCAAAAAGCTCAAATTAAGACGAAACAAAAGTATTGAGTGAGAAACAAAAACCATAATCATTATACTGGGTCGAAATTTATAACCTTGATCACAAAGCAAGCTGTAATCAAAGAATCCCAACAAATAAAATACTCCAAATTGCTTCAGAGTGAGATGAAATTAGCAGTCACGGTAACAAATTCAACTCTTTTACTTCATTTCTAAAGAAAAAATATCAAATGGGTTCAATTTCAATGGTACAGGAAATGCAAAGAAATAAAAAAATTAAGGTTACCCAACAAAAAAAAAAAAAAAAAAAGAACTTTTCCCGGTACACTCAGAGGCTGCGAGAGAAGCAAACCTTATCCGGCGGGGAGGCGGATAACAGGTCCATGTAAGCTTTGCGGTCGCGGACATCGGGCGGGGGCAATTTGGGCACACTGAGAACGATATCCACGCAGAGATTGCCGAGAGTAGCAACATCTACGTTTTTAACGCCGACGCTCTTTGGCTTCCAATCGTGCACGGAGCCATTGGGGGCGCTAGAGTTAGGGGAGTGTTTGGAGACGGAAACATCGAGCGCTCTGGCGGTGCGGTTGGAGACGGAACGGGGGCGAACGTAAACTGGCGCGAAAATGAGGGGGGATTGGGATTGGGTCAGCCTCGGGCTGTGGGGAAATATCAGGTGGGAGTGAGTGGAGGATACATGGTGTGGGATTGGGGGTTTCAGGGTTATGGTGCAGTGATGCATTCAGAGAGAGAGAGAGAGAGGGGGGGGGGGGGGAATGGCGGGATTGTGGAGGAGAGAGAGAGAGAGGGGTTTTGAGTGGATTGGGAAACGAAGAACCGAGGACGGTAGAAATGGCGGAAGTATTGAAAAAGATTTGGTTGCAGAGTCAAGTGGTGCAGCTGACGCTCTGCAAGTGTCCGTTGTTTGTTCCCACCACTGGTGTTCGGTTCTTATCTTATTACTTTATTGTTATTTCTCATCCTTCACTTTTTTAATTATTAATCACTCCCATAAATTTCACTTAAACGTCATAAGTTGAGTGAAATAGCAACATCGTTTGATGGTATTGTGAGTACACTGAAAGGTCGCTCGATTCTTTGTTTTGTGGCATAAGTTGGAGCACCAGTTCATGAACTGAGGTTTTTTTTTTTTTTTTAATAAACAATATTTTCTAAATTAAAAGGGTGAAAGAGTAAACTAAGTCTCACACTGAGTTAACTATAATAATGTGGTTCAAATTCGTCTTTGACGAAAATTGAATCTAAAATCCCTCACTTACAAATGAAAAGAATATCATTAAACCGTAATAATAAATCTAAATTAATTCAATTCCAATTATATGCTTAGGGTGCATAAAAGTAGCTTGACTTGTTCTTGTAGCTTTACTAATAATAGTGGTTTAGATAGAAAGACAAATTGGTGCCCTACTAGAGGTCCACATGGAAGATGCATATTCTTCTACATGTTCCCTTGAATTGAACTTTCTTATTCATCTGAGAATATGAAACTTATTCTGTCATGGTGACGATGATGGGTTGGTGGGGGCACAAGTCGCAAAGTGGATACCCCTCCTTGCTCCTTTCGAAGGATAGAAATTTTTTCACGTACTCACAACGTAAGCTAGTACATTAAGCGTCAAAATATAAATAAAAAAAGAACATATTTTTTGGTGTCCCTTGGACACTTGCTATAACAACTTATGTTCTGATTACACCGAAAAATTTCTCCTTTCAAAGATGTTGAGAGATGAAAAATGGTTCAACACTTCAATTTCCGGTAGCTCTGCTCAATACAGGTTTCAGATTATCAGAAAATATTCTAATCAATTAGAATCCGATACTACTAGTTTTCTGATAATTTTGTTCTTCTGTTTCGAATAAATTCAGCTTAATACAGCCGCGGTACTCATTCGAGGGATTAATAGAACTCTATGACAATGCTCAGGAAAGATTATAAAGGCATGAACAAGGGAATCTGTGGACGTGATCAAAGGGAAATCTGTGGACGGGATTGTTCTTCCTTTGCCAATCTGTCTACAACTTTCCAAGCCACACCCACATATGCTTTCGAGACATCAGAATCAGGAGCTGATATTACTATTGGCACGCCATTGTCGGAGCCTTTTCTGATCCCTACTACCAACGGTATCTGAAACGTTAAGCAGTTTGATTAAGAAAACTTAATTAACACATAGGTACAACTCATCTCAGATACACCGATAAAAATCCTGTTACGTGCATTTTGTATAAAAATAGGATCAAACGGAGAAAATGGAAAACACAAAGGGTCGTGAAAGCTTATTTGATTTAGTTCACTAATCACCAAAGCACTTCTGAAGAAGCCCTTCAAGTGGCGTGTGCATTACACACCATGGCACTCATATTATCTTATATGCGTTCCATTAAACTACCACGAGGTATGTATGTTGTGCAGATTGGCATTCAAGGTATCGTTGCAAGAAAAGAAATCTGGTTTGCAGTAAAACGATATGCGTTCAACAGCGATTTTAGAAAGTGACAAGCAAAGAGTCTCGATACCATGGAGATCTAAAAGTTCTACCTTCCTACTCTAATGAAAATAACCATGAAATAGATGAAACTAAGCATACCTCGCCAACAAAGTCCAAATCCATCTCAGTTGCTGTCTTACGAGATCCTCCTTCCCCAAAAATGAATGAACATTCGGCACAGTGTGGACACTTAAAATAGCTCATGTTCTCTACAATTCCCAAAATCTACAAAAGCAATTCAAATTTAATTATCTTAACAATTACATCATTGATGATCTCCACAAACTTACAATGACAATGCAAACATATTAAGAGATGATATACGAATAATAAGATCATACAGGAACTTCGACTTTAGAGAACATGTTAATTCCTCGACGGGCATCCATTAATGCTACATCTTGAGGCGTTGAAACAATTAATGCACCTACCAACAAACCAGTAATTGTTATGGAAAACCAAATGATAGTAGTGAAACCAAGTTCATATGGAAAGGTAAAAGTGGACCTTTTACTTGGATCTTCTTGGGGAGGTGGTCTAGGGGCACTAATCTATGTCTTCAGAAACCAGAAAACTTTGGTATTTAATATTTATAAATATAATAGCATTATATTTTACATATAAATTCCTTCTTTTATCATTAGGCCAACCATGCCGAAACATTATAGGACATTTAGAGGCTGAAGGTGAGAGAAGCGATTGCGGTATTTTGATAGTTTGCTAAATGCATTTAACATAGATTGAAGATTGCACAAGATTCTGAGGCACAAGATACCAACCTCAGCTATCAAAGTAGATACTGCCTAAACCAAATGAGGGAAATTTGAACACAAGTACAAAAGCATTTTGAGGTTATGATCTTCAACTACCTGATAATTGCAGCCTTTGGGATACAGTTATATGAGCATCACCAGTGCCAGGAGGCATATCTACCACAAGAATATCAAGATTTCCCCAGTTAACCCCCCTAGTCATTTTTTCAAGAGCGCTCGATACCTGTAAGAATTAAACCAAAACACTATGAGAAAAAATGGATTGGAAATGCACATTATTCTTGCCACATGTAACCATTAGAAGACTAATGTTCAATAATGTAGAGACCAGACGACCAATTGATGTCGTTTAGAGTCAGACCACATGGTGAGAATAAAACATACTAATAATTTACATAACACCCAGGTCAAACATATTTATCACTTGTGATCATTTAACACCATATTTGCATGAGAAGACCAAATGACAATCCTGTATCTTCTTGGCAGCTCTAACACATTACTGATTATCACATCATCATCATCAAGATATTCGGTATTCCAACTTGAATTAGTGAGTTGCTGCTATCTTTACCCTGGCCTTTCTACCTTCTTGAAACTTTCCATTACTTTTGAGTGTTTTGTTCATTTTCTCTAAATAATAACAAATTTCTTAAACCCCTGCACAAAACTTTCAAAACTCATAGCAACCAAATATTTAACAATTAATAAATAAGTGATATATATATATATATATATGTATGTGTGTGTGTGTGTGTGTGTGTGTGAATGAAGAAGACTCATGCACACGCATACAAATACAAGAAAAGAATCAGCTTGGTTACATTTCAAAAGGAACCACTTCAATTAATTAGTTTGCCTTCTTGCAAGATTAGGAGGAAACAAAATCTCTTAAACTGTGCTTAAATAATGATGCAGTCTACACACTAGCACTCAGTATTAAAAGGTAGCACCAACAATCAAGTTATGACAAGGGATATAAAATTATATAAGCAATTAAGCAATAAAAGACTTAGAGTTTGCAAAGTTATACCATAGGACCTCTCCAAACAAGTGGGGCATCCTTATCCACAAGAAGTCCCATTGACATACACTTGACTCCATAGCTCTCGATTGGAATCATTTTTTTATCTGGTAGAAGACGACTATAATGTTAATATTCTCAAATGTAGCATTAAGGAAGCAATAAATAGTTGGAAGTGTATATGTCTAGTGCTTTTGTATGTCTTAGATATTAGATGTTTGCTTCATAATAGAGATAATACCGGATCTAACAGAAGATGCAAACCATGAACTTGTTATCTAATATGTTTGTGTGGGAATGTAGAGGGATACTTGTTTATAGGACTTGTCTTCTGCTGAGCCCAAAAGTTTGACTTGATTATGAAATGACACATGCTTACACTGCAGAAAATATGAAAAACTAAATTCTCGCAATGCCTGTATAATGACTGGCTTAGCAAAAAGAAGAGGTTGATTATACTGTGAAATGCAAAGACTCGTATGGTACAGGAAACTTTTGGAGATACTCAAACTGATCGGAAATCTTAGCTGCCATGTTATCTCTGTTTACACTTATTTCAAGATTGACCAGATAAATTATAATCTCTTAAGTGAACTCGAGAAAAATAAACAAATACCGTCAGTCACTTCTGGCTTTCTGTCAAGCTTCATCATTATAGGAACATTTGGTCCATATATGTCGGCATCAAGCAAGCCAACCTTCATCTGGCACTTGTTAGCAAGTGCAACAGCCAGATTAACTGCAATTCCAACCACTACGCATAAGTTATTCTGAATCATCAGAATCACAAAGTAAGCATTGCCGTGGAGTTCTTTTGCAAGACTTAAATCTTCAAAATGTGAAATCACCGAGATGGTAAATCCTAAACTTTCATGCCTATTTTACCATCTAAAATTGGAGTCACTTATAGCTACCTCGCAACTCCAGCACCTAATAATGCAAAGACACCATTTTTTTCATCTTTTCAATGACAAAATTAACCAAAACAGCAGAAAATAATCAAAGACGTTCAGGAGCTTAGTAGTCCTCAGCTCACCACTATCCGGAAACTTATCCTTCTGGAGACCAATGCAATCACAAAAAGGGTGCGTATTTACACAATTTCAGTATAACCCAGATAGCTAAAATGCTCACAAACTCAAAAATTTCAACCCTTTATAGATATTAACATTTAAACGAAAACCATATCGGTAAAAATCCAAAAATGGTACCCGCGGTGGTGGACTTTCCCACACCGCCTTTACCAGAAGCGACAGCAATGGCATGCTTAACCCCCTGAATCCGAAGGTCCTTCCTCGCCGAGCTATAACCCCTAACACCTCCTCCAACCCTCTGTGCAAACACACACATTCATTCAATCACACAACACAATCAGCTCCTTCCGCAAACTCCAAGCAAAAAAGCAAACAACTTTCGGATACCCACAAAGCAGAAGACTTACAGTTAAGGATTTGAGCAGTCCCCTCATCAATTCCAAGCTTCTTCAGCAAATGGTAGACTGTGAGACTGTGTGCTTTGTGTTTTTTCTGTGGGGGTTTAGGATTTAGAGTTTGAGTCGGTTGTTGTTGTTGGAACTTGTAAGATTGGATTGAGTCCCACATCGACGGAGGGAAGGAGAGTGGGGAGAGGGGAGAGAGTAGAAAATAGGAGGGGGAGGTAACGGATTCCATACTTACCTGGACGGGGTCTATGGGTGATCAAGGAGGCCCATGGCCTGGGTTGGTGACCTCCATTGCACTTAGGAGGGGTGCCCGCCTATGGTCTCCCCAAAGTGGGAGAGCCAACGTCATAATTTGTGGCAGTGGGGGCCTGCGTACGCGCGGCCCCTTCCAATTCGAAGTTTAACATTTCAATGTACTCTCCAGGCAAATGCATTGGGACGGGCTATCTATCACACTAATTTGGGCTTGTGTGTTGTGCTTTCGGTGAGATAAAATAAAGATGATTGTATCTTGGACTTCTTGATATGTTTGTCCACTTGTAATGAAGGGTGGCTTCTTCATTCGTAAGCGAATTAAGGACTTGATGTTAATTAGAGGTGTCAATAGGGACGTGTTCTAGTTTGCTCATTCATATTTGTGTCACGTTTGTGCTAATTCACGAGTTAATCGACATGCAAAACAATATGAAAATAATAATAACACATTAACTCGTATTATTTATCAAAAAATGAAAAAGTTACCATTCTATTTATATAATATTAGTTGTACAATGTTTTTGTTAGCTATAAAATTATGTACACATTGGTCTCATATATTGTGAATCTCAAGTCGTATCTAAAATTGTCTCCCCCAATGACAACGAATGGAAGTAGAGTGCATAAGCCGCTTCATACGTAAGAGGGAGTAACCGACAATCCATTGTATTTGTAACAACTTCATCCAAAGAGGCATCGATAAAATAGCTCTGTTTATAAATTAAACTACCAATAACAACTTCAGTTAAAAAAAATTGATTTACAAGTAAATAAGAATGACTCCTTACAAACTACCTAATACATGTTACATTCTTACAAGTATTTGTGATTGTGCATAATTACTAACCCACAAATTACAATTGAATTGGTATTAATAATTTAATAAGGGGGAAAGAAATAGTCGGCATTGGACGTGTGAGATCAGCTGTCAACATGCACGATTTGACAGGTGAACCCATTCGTGCCCCCAACCATGCATCTCACCAACAATATCACAAGAATATAATAACAAAATATCCTTTGTTTGTGAAAGACCGAATCCTCTTTTCTCTTTTATTTTTATTTAAAGTAAAAACGAAATGTTTTTGCTAATCGCACTAAAGTGATGATAAGACTCACTACTCTATTTATCATCGTTAAATAAATTTAAATTTTGAGATTTGTGTAGAAAACGGACACAAATTTTAAAATTTAAACTCATCAAATAGTAATAAATAGGATGGTAAGCATTACCACCACTTGAAAATGAGTGAGAAAAAACGCACCTAAAACAAAATAGAGTTGCTATTGGTAATTCGAAACATAGTACACAAATTTTCTCTTGTTTATTTTAAAATTTATAGTCTAAAAATAACATTTTTCAGCATGTCAATAACAATTTAAAGACTAAATTCTTTTACTTAAATTTGTTGTAACACAACATTTAACACTACAATCTATACCATTCGATACTACTTTTTGATCTATGAGCGGAAGGTTTTAAATTCGGCTGACAAATTTGACACTAAATTATTAACTCAATAAATCAATAAAATATCAAAAAACTTGTTTCTAACATTTTTTTTTTCTTTATAATAGCATCTATAAATGAATTAAACAGTTGGCCATGTTATGTGATTTTATTACGTGTTAATTCATGAGCCAGCTAAAGCTTGGAGCTTCGCTTTTATTGGCATCCAAACAAATCTTCCGGCGGTTGGTTTCAACGGTCAGTCACTTTCCTTTCCCACGCAAGGACCTGCTCGTAATTCCTCCAAACTTTTCATTTTCCTCCTCTTGTTTTTTCTTTCATGTTTTTATTCCGAAGTTGCGTTTCTTCCCCGTTCACCTTTTGATCCTCCGTCAAGCTCCATTCCAGGTACCACCCACTTTCTCTGTTTCTCTTTCCCTTTGCTTTTTTTTTTGTTCATTTTTTTCCCATTGCATTTTTCATGAGTTAATTAAACCCGGGAAATCATCAAAGGTGTAAACTTTAATTTTGTTTAGAATAACACTAATCTGGGATTTATTTGTTTTCTGAAATTGCAATGCACATTGTGTTGGATTGGGTGATGCCCTTATCGTGGTCCTTTTTTGTGGGTTGTTTTGTTTGAAATTCCTTAATTTTATAGATTTTTCGAAGAAATTAATATGTGGGCAATCTTTCATATGCTTGAAACATTAGAATTTGCAGAAAAGTTTATTGCTTTGTTCATGAATCCTTCTGGGTTTCTCACGTTAATTGGGTTAGGTGAGTATCGTTTCGTTTTATTTAAGGTTTATCGTTGTTTGTTGATTTGTCATTGTTTAGAACAGTTGGGATGGTTAGAGTTTAATGTCTGATTGTCTTCTGATTTGATAAATATGGTTTGACGTGCCTAATTGCTTCATTTGTTTCTTTTCTTGGGCTGGTGATTGAAGATGGGATGCTCAATTCTGATTTGGGTGGATAGGAGCAGCTATTACCTTGATCAACCAGTGATTTCCTCGAGTTTTTGTAACTGGAAGGTCATGAGATTGTAGAGCAATTGGTAGGCAGATGGCAGTAAAGGGGAATCCATCTGTACATGTGCAGAAAAACTTAGAGGGGTTTGTAACCATTCTAACATCTGCAGCATGTGAATGGGTATTGATCTTTCTTCTGCTTGTCGATGGACTATTATCCTATCTGCTGACTAAATTTGCAGACTATTGCAATTTGCAAAAGCCTTGCATCTTTTGCTCCAGGTTTGAGCATGTTATAGGTAGTGAAAAACCTCAACTTTATCAGGATCTACTTTGCAGTAACCACATATCTGAGTTCTCGTCATGGTTGTCTTCTCAAATTTATGGTAAACACGATCACAGTGGAATGTGTGAAGATTGCCTCAAGTCATACACCAAAAAGGGCAAGTCCAACCCCGAAAAACACATGCTTTCTGGTGGTAAATCGGATTCTGATATTGGAAGTTCCAGTTCAAGGAGGTCGATGCAGAACAGAAAGTTTGTCCATGGTTCTGTGGGTGTAAGGACATGCTCTTGTTGCAGTAGGCCTTGTAGACCTAGAGAAAATGCTCGTGGACAACAACGAAAATCATCTGCTTCCAAACCTAATATCCCTTTGCCACGTTTTTCAAGCCGTAGCCGTATACCTCGTAGGGATGGTTCAAAGAGGACCAGGGATAAAACTTCTGGATCAGTAACTACTCATCGTCCTGGAAAACCTGGCTGGGATCCCTTGCCACATAGAGGACACAGAGAGTTGAGGATTAGTTCTGATACTGACTCCACTCTTCGTCCTGGAAATTTTAGCTGGGATCCCTTACCACATGTAGGATACACTAAGTTGAGGATTAGTTCTGATACTGACTCCACTCGTCGTGCTGGAAAACTTGGCTGGGATCCCTTGTCACATGTAGGATACACTGAGTTGAAGATTAGTTCTGATACCGATTCTGAGATTCCATTTTCTGATGAAGACGGTGGTAGAAGCATAATTATTGGAAATGAGGAGCATAAGAAGGAAGCTTTAGTAGTTCAATATGCTTCAGAAAAACCATTCAAAGCACAGCCAAATGGTTTGAATCCTGCAAAGCAGAGCAACATTACCACCGACCACAAGCCTTCACTTTCTGATCCAAGTGTGCAGCCAGATGATAGCAAGAGGTCTGATGTAAAATTCTTAGGTTTGAATGTTGCTTCAGAGAATGGCTTGGATGAACTTAACTGGCAGCAACCGAGTCAGAATTCCATCCCTTATGCATTCCCTGAGCTTATTTCACTGGATGATATCCCTCCATCATTTAATGTTGTTGAAAAGAGTAAGCTCAACTTTCCTCTTTTCGGATTCCAGTTCATCCGAGTTATATGAGCTTATTATTACATTGATCCTCTTTTGAAATTATTTAGCAGGTTTTGCTGGGACAAGCGACTTTGGAGATGCATCCATCAGTAAAAACGATGAACTTTTGAAGTCTATAAGTGCAACGGATGGAGCACCTATTAAAACTGATCTTATCATCAACGATCCAGATCTTACGAAGCCGAATCATATTAATGGAAATGCTGTGTCTGAGTCAGCAGGCATTGGTAAGGAAGGAGATTCTATTAAAGAACAACCTCCAGTGAAGGTACTTGATAGAGTTGATGGGGAAGTGAAACCAGCGAACTCACAAAGTTCTTCTGCTCAGGAGAGAAATTTATCATCAAATAATACAATTACAGGGGTACATGGTGTTGGTGATGAAAAACCAGTAGCTGATGCTTCCGATTCTTCTGCTCAGGAGAGTAATTTATCATCACATAAAACAAGTTCAGCGGTACTTGGTGCTGGTGCTAAAACACTGGTAACTGATGCTTCCAAATCTTCTGTTCAGGAGAGTAATTTGTCATCAAATAATACAATTTCAGTGGTATGTGGTGTTGGTGATGAAAAGCCGGTACCAGATGCTTCCAACTCTTCTGCTCACAACAGTAATTTATCATCAAATAATACAATTTCAGGGGTACGTGGTGGTGGTGATGAAAAGCAGGTAACTGATGCTTCCAATTCTAATCCAAATCCGGGGCTTAAAACATCATGGTCCGTAGAATCTCTGGATGGAGGATATGTCAGTGAAATTGAAGGTGAAAGTATTGTTGATCTGTTAAAACGACAGGTTGATTATTATAGAAAAAGCTTGAAGGAGTTGTTTAAGGAACTAGATGAAGAAAGGAATGCCGCTGAAATTGCTGCAAATCAGGCAATGGCCATGATCACAAAGCTACAAGAAGAGAAAGCTGCAATCCATATGGAGGCCCTTCAGTACTTAAGAATGATGGAAGAGCAGGCTGAGTTTGATGTAGATGCACTTGAAAAGGCCAATGATCTCCTAGCTGAAAAGGAGAAACATATACAGGACTTGGAAGCAGAGCTAGAATTTTCTAACTTCGAAATCCCAGATGAATCAACAATGGAGAGTATGCCAATGCTGGAATTGCCAGCATTCCCAGTATTGCAGGGAAAAAGTTGTAATTTGAAAGGTGAGATTGACACAGTGGAGAGTACTGTTGTTCCCAGTGTAAAAAGTGATGTCAAAGTTACCGGTAACTCAACAGTTACTGAAGTACCTAAAGCTAGCAATGAACGCCTTTTTTCTGAGACAACACTCTTAGAATTTGAAGATGAAAAGTTGTACATTTCAAATTGTTTGAAGAGCTTGGAGAGGAAGCTTTCCGAGATTTCCTGTAATGGAGCTTCTACCAGCATGCCTAATGGTGGGCATTCTAGAAAGCAAACAAATGATGGACCGGATCAAGTAGAGACGCCTAGAAAATTCAGGCTTCTATTAAATGGTCAGATTGAAGAGGAAGTTGTGCAGACGCCGAATGATTTACACATATCTAACGGAAGTGCTGCTCCTCAAGAGGGACCAATTCATTCTGATAGCTTAGACTGTGAAGAGGAAAAAGATTCAGATTTGGTTGTTCTGGAAAACGAAATCTCAGACCTTAATGACAGGTTGGAGGCACTCGAGACTGATCATGATTTTCTTGAGCACATGCTTTACTCTCTTCAAAATGGACAGGAAGGGCTACAGTTCATTCAAGAGATAGCTCAGCAGCTACGAGAACTGCGAAAAATTGGTGCAGCTTTCAGAAATCAGTCTGTTCCCTAACTTCAAATGGAAAATTACACGGTACGTATGATATCCAAGGACTTAAATGTGCTTTTGCTTCTGCTTAATCTGTTTTCCAACATTTGCCTTACCATTCATGCATTCTTTTGTCAGGTACATTTGAAATTTTGAAGGCAGAAATATTGATTCATCTCTCGAGCATTTGGGTGTCGAATGAAGAAATCAATTGCATTCCTTCAGTCACATACAACCATGAAAAATCAAAATGATTTCATGTACAGGTACCAGCCAAAACTCTTGGAAGGAAAAACGAAATCAAGGTCTATACTAGGACATAGCGTTATCATCTCGTAAGCGCGCAATTTTCCATCGTCTCTTTTTTCTCTCTAGGTTGAATTTCCCTCTTGTTTGTTTGGAGAGCGGGCAGGTTTTTAGTAAGTTCAAATTTATTGATAAGGCTGTAAAATTAGTATTTTTGTGTAGTTGCTATTTCTTGTTCTCAAGGTTAAGGCTCCATTTTTCGCCAAACCACTTCCATTGTAAATTCAAGCAGAGCTTTTATAGTAAGTTTAGAGAAGTTTTCTCCAGAGCTTTTCCCAAAATAGATGTTCAGGTACTGCATAATCCTCATTAGAAATTTCTTGCTATGGATGATAATGCGTGTACCAGCTTGGATGCAATAAGCAACTTTGCATGTTGCGGGTGTGCATCGCGTCTATTTGCCTCTCTTGTTATGTGCACCTCACGTGACGAGAGAGATAAAGATAGAATTAGCCCTCACTTTTCTGTTTCTGTCATCATGTAACGCTTCACTTGATGTGAGAGTGGGAGGGAGGTTGACATTTTAATTTGTTTCATGGGAGAAAAGCTTCAATCAATAAAATTGATATCACACCGTCAATTATTTTTGTCATAAATTTTCGAATCTAGATTCTCGCCGGATCATTTTACGAGAATTCCGAATATAAATGACATTAATAATTGATAACGTGCAATCAGACCAACCAAATAAACAAAGTTTTTCTGGGAAGTGAATGCACGTAACGTGCAATCAGACCAACCAAATAAACAAAGTTTAGTGAATGCACATAAACATTGAAGTAGGTTTGACTTTGGCAAGACCATGACGCCTGGAGTGAGATCTGGGACCCTTGGATCTTGGTCTTCAACAAGACCATATTTTCGTGACCGTAGATTTACCCCTGAAGCTTTCCGTACATGCATCCTTCATTGTCTCTGTGACGGTTTTGCCTACGTCTTTCTTTCATTTTCAAGGGCCACCGCTTGTCTTCTATAGGCTGCTGTCCATGTGGAAAGTGAACGGACGTTAAGGTTGGAGTAAGAGTTAAGAGATATAGGTGGTGGGCCCCAGGATGTTATTTTATTTTTGGATAATAAAGTAATAGACAAAATTTTGTAAACTAAATGATATGGAAGTTAATGATTATATTATGACTTAAGCGATAAGTGTGCTTATTCTTATTGTTGATACATAATTTAGTTTGTAAAATTTACCTATAAATTTAGTCTTCCTAACATTATTCTTTATTTTTATTTGTAAGGTTGTGAATAAAAGGTATATGTGGAAAAACATAATTTGTGTTTTTAGGATTTTTTTGTTTTTTTTTTCAACAAACAATTGTATGAACACTAAAGAATATGAGAGTGAGCTAAGCGCTAGGCATAATAATGTTATTCAAATTCATCTTTAGCGTAAATTGAACTTATTAAATCTCTTCACTTATAAATAAAAAAAAAATTCTATTAAAGTATATTTATAAATGACACGTTTTTAGAGAATTAATTTCTTAGATTGAACTCCAAGTGGAGTTCACATGGCAAGATAATAGTGTAAAAGGTATGAAGAAGATGGCAAATAGAAGGTAGTTAACATTTCTAAATTGGATGATATGAACCCATATTATGGACAAATTGTGGAGAACAAAGGGTGATTAATGTTTTTTTCTTAATTTATTTTCTTACAATTAGTGTAAGAGTTAGATAATTGGTATTAGTACTTTCAAATTTTTATTGTGCACTTTAAAATTTCATAATCTCAAAATTTGTCGTTCGCTCAAAAAAAAAAAAATAAAAAGAAAAAAAAAATTCATAGGGCCAAAACTCGCCGTCCATGTACCAGATGTCTTTATCAATTGGCCAGCCTACCAATGATGGTTTCGCTTACGCATGCATGTCTTTACAAGGAGGAGGATTATTTACCCTTCTAATCTCTTTATTCTTTCATATCTTTCTATTTAAACGGTCATAATTAAGTCACGTTAACATTTTATATTGATTTTTTTATAGAAATAATAAGATAAAAAATAATATATTAAGAGAAGAAGATGAAAGATGATGAAAATAGAAGAGTAAAGAATTCTCCTTCTTTTATCAATTGGCCAGCCTACCAATGACGGTTTCGCTTACGCATGCATGTCTTTATCAATGGGTCAATATCCTTCGTGCATACATTTTATTTGTCAATTGACCCATTGGATAATAAAAAAAGAATTTTAACAAAAAACTCGCGTAGTCTTCATTTTAACAAAAAAATCATATTTTTATATTAAAAAATTAATTCTAATATTATTTATTTTATCTTTTATTTTATTATTATCATTAAAACTCAAAGTTTTCAAGTGATTCCCATTAGTTTTCTTTAATAAAAACTCCTTATCCCAAAAGTTCTTTTTTTGAAATTTGAATGCAAATTGATTAGTACAAACTCAGACGTTATAAATAGCATCCAAATCTTACACCAGAAACGGTACAATTTCTTCCGTTGGTCAAACACCTTAAACCCTTCCATTTCTGTGCATTAAATCAGGCAGCCATGTTTCTTGAGCTCTTAACCTTCGCTTCCCTCCTCCTCCTTCCCATCCTTTTCTTCCTCTTCAAGATTTCATCCCACCCCAACCCCAAAACCAGCAACCTCCCCAAATCGTACCCTATAATCGGCTCATTCCCATCTCTCTACAAAAACCACCGCCGCAGACTCCAGTGGTTCACCGACCTCCTCCGCGCCTCCCCAACAAACACCTTCACCCTCCACCACTCTCTTGGCCGCCACTGGGTCGTCACCGCCAATCCTACCGTTGTTCAGCACATCCTCAAGACCAACTTCCCCAACTACCAAAAAGGTGAGGCCTCCCGCTCCACCCTCGCCGACCTCCTCGGCGACGGCATTTTCAACGTCGACGGCGAGAACTGGAAGTTCCAGCGCCAAGTCTCCAGCCACGAATTCAACACCAAGTCCCTGCGTAAGTTCGTCGAACAGGTGGTCGACACCGAGCTCTCTGACCGCCTCATTCCGATCCTCTCCGCCTCCGCCGCCAATAATTCCGTCCTCGACTTCCAAGACATTCTCCAGCGCTTCGCTTTTGATAACATCTGTCGAATTGCTTTCGGGTACGACCCGGATTACCTCCTGCCCTCTCTGCCCGAAGCCAAATTCGCAGTGGCTTTCGACGACGCCGTGCAAATCAGCAGCGAAAGATTCGGATTGCCGCACCCTGTGTGGAAACTCAAAAGGGCTCTTGGAATCGGGTCCGAAAAGCGCCTCCGTGCCGTCGTATCGGAAGTCCGCGAGTTCGCGAACACCATTGTCAGAGAAAAGAAGCAGGATCTGAGCGAGGCGAAAGCGTTGGAGTCTGTAGATCTGCTCTCCCGGTTCTTGAGCTCCGGCCACTCTGACGAAAAGTTCGTCACCGACATCGTCATCAGCTTCACCCTCGCGGGCCGGGACACCACTTCGGCGGCTCTCACCTGGTGCTTCTGGCTGCTTTCGCAGAACCCACGTGTGGAACAAGAGATCTTGAAGGAGATCAACGACACGGCGTCGTCTGACTCGGCGGCGGGAGGAGGTTACGACGAGGTGAAGGAGATGATGTACACCCATGCGGCGCTGTGCGAGAGCATGAGGCTGTACCCGCCGGTTCCCGTCGACAGTAAACACGCGGTAAACGACGACATTTTGCCGGACGGCACGAAGGTGAAGAAGGGGATGAAGGTGACGTACCACGTGTACGCGATGGGGCGCATGGAGGAGATCTGGGGGGAGGACTGGGCGGAGTACAGGCCGGAGAGGTGGCTGGAGAGAGGAGAGGAGAGCGGGACCCACAAGAAGTGGAAGTTCGTTGGTAGGGACACATATAGCTATCCGGTTTTTCAGGCGGGGCCGAGGATCTGTTTGGGGAAGGAGATGGCGTTTTTGCAGATGAAGAGGGTGGTGAGCGGGGTTCTGAAGAGATTTAAGGTGGTCCCGCGGGAGAGGGAGGGCGGGGATGAGCCGGAGCTGTTGGCCTACCTCACCGGGAAGATGAAAGGCGGCCTTCCGGTCACCATTTTGGAGAGGGCTTAATTAAGTATATATCGTCAATGTGTGTCTCGTAATGATTACGTAGGTAATCATATGTATACATGCGTGAAGATGCTTATTATTTTCTGAATTTTACCTTTTAACTTTGCAATATTTGGTCTTATCATGTACGTGTATCTAAAGAGTTTGTTCTCTCCATAGTTATATGGATGGATGTTTTGATGTTTTTGGGCACTTGGTCTATCCTTCCAATTATACAGCAGCATTACTAGTTGATTATAATAAACTAACTAATCCATAATTAGTAATAAATTAGGAAATTGTTATTGGTACTCCAAAAATCTCATTCTACACTCCAAACTTTCTATATTTGGAGAGAAATATACACTTGTGAGCAGTGGTGAAGCTATGAATTGTAGGGAGGAGGGGCGAAATTTAAAAGAGAAAGGTTCCAAACTAAATGCAGACAACCAAATTCTTTTATATAGTAGACAACATGAAATTCGTTCATATATTTATTAAGACAAACAAGTTACAATTGTTGCCAACGAGACTTTATGTTGTAAATTTGCTACTCATTGATAGCTTTAAGTGAAGGGGCATTGCAGTAGTGCCCATCTTTTTGATCATAATACTATATGGCCTCATTTGGTCTACATGACTGAATTTACATGTTTGTCCATTCAAATCCAATCCTAGAATCTAAACGAAACCTATATTTGATACAAACAACTCTAATGTGATATGCCAAATGTGAAAAGAGTGAACCTTATTAGCTTTTTCTTTCAAGATAAAAAATTGCAACTTTAACCAATAGCTGATGCGTCAATCCCTTTCAAGCATCAAATTTTAACAAAATTTGAACTCTTTCGAATAATGGCAGCTAAATTTTGCCTAAAAATCTACGATTTTGAAGATCAATCTGACTCCCACACTGAAATTAGTAGCTAAAACGAAGGATTTGGTGAAAAGCTAATCTAAATCAAAGATCAAATTGCAACAAAAATCACGCAAAAATATGAATCAAGATTCAGTTCTTTAAATTCTAAGTAGGAACAAACATATCCACTTATTCATCAATAATCAATGATTCGTATCAATAATTAATATGTATATTACGCTGTAATTCTTATAAAGAATGTCAATTAAGCAAATGGTTATGTTAAATTATGAATTAATAATTTAAATTAAAATAGGGCAGAAGGCACGGTAGTGGGGTGGGAAGTAGGGAAGTGAATGTGTGGTGTGGGTTAATGGGGATGAGTGGTCACCTTTCTGTGTGTCTTTTATATATTTTTAATGCCCAAAACGACGCCGTTAGGCATCTATTATTTTTGTTTTTTCAAAGGGAAAGGACTCATCTTCTTCGTGGGATTGCTTATAGCAAAACACAGCCACTGCACAGATACGCAACCTGCAACAGTCATGGCTTCACCTTGCAAGTTTTCCGACGATACCAGAGGGGGCGGACCATCGCTTCTGTGCTGATTTCCAGCCAGTGGAGAGGGCTGAACTAGAGCTCCAGTCGTGTTTTCTGGGGAAGGGCCGCCACTCCTCGCCCTCACGTGGGTTCGCCACTGCTTGTGAGAAGTGTAGAATGAGATTTTTAGAGTGTCAATAACACTTCCCATAAATTAATAAAAATTAAACCATGAGCTAATCGCAAGCCACCTAACCCAGTTAAACCATTTTAAATGTAATTAATAAAAATTAAACCAAGAGCTAATCCCAAGCCACCCAACACAGTTAAGACCATTGCAAAAGTAATGTATCAGTCGCATTCCAATTTTTTTGTATTATATGTAAGAAGCGACAAACATGTATGTCATGCATTCTTGTCCAAACTACGCGTTAATGTTGTTTTGCTCTATTGGTGCTCCCTTCACTAGTTTTTACACTGGACTAAAAGTTAGTATAATTCTGTGTTTGTTATTCATAGGGACTAATTTTAATAAAATTATGAGGAACTTTCCTTGACTAAGGGCTGGTTTGGTATTGCTGTGCTTTGAAAAAAAGCTGCTTCTGTTGTGCTGTGAAAAAAAGCGGCTGTGAAAAAAAGCTAGCAGAGTGTTTGGTAAACTTTTTTGTGAAAGTGCTTTTGGAAAAAAAAGCAGTATGATAGTGTTTGGTAAACTTTTATGTAAAACAGCTGTGACTGTGTAAAATGATCAAAAATGGTATAATACTAGATGTGCTATTAATTTAATTTCATGACCCTTTGTATTTTCTATAATTTATTTATAATTTTCCAGCTTATCCCTAATCAGTTTCTTCATCCTATCGACTACGAAAATCACTCAGAAAACGTCCTGCACCTTTCAAACGCATGGTGCAAATCGAAACAGTTCAAAACAAGTAAGAAACCAAAACTAGATATTCAAGAATGCAAAGAAATGGTAAAACTATAATTGCTGGAGGAGCAAAAGAATGTCAGTACATGATAAAGAGATAAATAATGAAACGACACAATTGGCCGTACCCGACCTTCTTTATTACAATTCAGATCAACCACAAACGCCTTTTCACAATGTTGTTCTGATCGTTATAATACGTTATGATTTCAACATGTAACAAGTTGTCAAACTTAATCTTTGTTTCCTTTGAGATTGATTACTGCAAGCTCCTGTTCAACAAACTCTCCTGCATGAATGGGCGGGTATTTACTTGCAAGCGGGGATTCTGCAAAGTGACCTAAGGGCTTCAACACAGCATCAGATGCTATGTGCGCAAACAACTACATGGCAAGAAACGTCACAACTAAGCATACAGTGCATTTGGATATTTATTTATATAAAACCAAAGAGAACGAGATGGTATAATGACAACAATATGACTAGCTTCACTCACTGTTGAAGATACTCTCCATAGTAAGCGATTTTGCTCCGTTGCTAGTTTGATTGCATCAATCGTCCTGTTTGTTACGATAACTTCATGCACTCCAGCTATGCAATCTCCTGCAGTCAGCCATTCTATCTGCATTGAAAAATTGTGTGAATGGAATACAACTAGCATAAAGATTTAAAATGCAACACATGCCGCAGGAAACCAACCTAAAACAGCTATACGCATCAAGGAGAACTTAATTTTTAGCACACCGAATTGACACACCTACTTTTTTTCATTTTGCTACACAATGCAATCATATATCACATAGTGGTTCAGCAATACATTGAATAAAACATACTTGTACTTTTGACCTCCTCGGATCAAAAACCGATCCCAACTATCACTGTGTTCCACTGAGACCCCAAAGCGTTCCACTGAGACCCTAGAGAGCTTCACCTGAAAACAACAGATAAAGTGTGGATTGAATTGATTAAGTGCATCAAAACTGCAGGCATTACAGAACAACCATAAATATACAAGACAATGCAAACCACACCTTCCCCCCTGGAAGGCCTCCCTTTCCAATCACACGGACAGGAGGGCAGTTTGTTCCAAGAAAACAATCAGCATCCACACCAAGCTGCTTAAGACCATCAACTAATTTCCTTCTTTAGCTCATTGATCACAAATACAGCGACTTAACAAATCCAAATTCTTTCAAAATTTCATCTTTTCTTTCATCACTCTAATGCACATCACAGCAACTATCCTTTTGCATTTAAAACCTTGAAAACCGAAATACCCAGCATTCTAAATCACCAAATTTGACTAAAAATTGAAACAATATCCTAAAAGAAATTGAATCCAGACATCACCAACCCATAAAAGTAAGAGATTTTCAATAATCAACAGAGTCAACAACAAAAGAAACATTAAATTAACAAATAAATGAATAATTAATCAGTTATGTAAGAAATCGGAAGTGTAAAACACACCTTGAGGGGTGGGTGGGGGGAGATCGAAATGGGGCATTGAGATTGAAGGCTGTAACGGAAGAAATCGGACTCGTGAGGGCAGAGAGCAGAAGAAGAAACTAATCGAAACGAAGCTGCCAAGGCAGCGATATACAACAATATTACAGATTTATCCATAGACGGTGAACAACGATAACTAGTCGAATCGACGAATGGGAGGAGAAGAAGAAGGAAGAGGAGAACAGGGAAACGAAGAGGAGAACACAGGCGAGAAAAGGGCAAAATCGAAAACATGGAAAAACCAAAATAAGGGTATGAAATTTTACGAGAAACAAAATCTGGGATAAGAAGAATTGCAACGCAGTAAAAGAAAAGAGCAGCCAAACCCTAACCTAAAAATTTAATTAATTAATTATAGCAAAAATTGAAAGCAAGTCGAGTAGTTGGTACCTGGAAGGCGACGGCGGTGTGGCGTTGAGAGTGACGGAGAGAAACGAAAAGAAGGAGGAGGAAGAGGTGCAGCGGCGGGAGGGAAGAGGGGTGTAGAGTGCAGCGGCGGGAGTTTTTTGCAACAGAGAAGGAGAGAGTGCAGAGTGTAGGATCGGGAGAAGGAGAAAGGAGAAAGGAGGGGGCAGGTTTGGTAAATTGAAAAAATTCATTAATGGGGTACTGTAGCTCCGCGTTTTGGAAAAATAAGCGGCTTGTGGAAGCTGCAAAATGCAGCTTCCACTTTTTGGCTTTTTTTCATGTGAAACTTTGAAATAAAGTTGTTTTGGGATGTTTACCAAACACCAAAATCCTTATCAGCTTTTTTTCATGGCAGCTTTTTAAAAAATCACCTCAACCCCAAACTGGGGCTAAGTCCCTCAATGGAAGTCTCAGCGAGACCCCTCAGAAAAGTAGAGGATTGCTAAGCCGCCTTTAATCTCGCCCTCTCCCTTCTCCTTCGTACCTTCGCTCCCTACTTCTTCCGCGTCGCACCGCCTCATAGACGTCCAACATGTAGAGATCGACAACAGACCTGCATCATAGCTGATGATCTTCGTTTGGTGCTTTCTGCTGCATCGTGAAATTGGAGTCCCAGCAGAGGAAGGAAAAGAAATACACGGATGGAGTCAGAGTGTGATCCGAAGACGAACAAGTTATTGGATTTGGGTGCCCTAACTTTTTGAATTATAAATTCTGAATTCGCTAGGTTTTTAGTCTTTCATGCCGATCTGTATTGAATGAAAGTTGGGTAGAGATGCTTGACATACTCAGAGTAGCTGAACAACGCGTTAGAGGCGACTCAACTCTGCCTCCTTTTTTCTATAGAATATTGCAGTGTCTGATTTCTTAATGAAAAAAGTTGGGGTTCCATTATAAAATAAATTGGCAATATAGGAAGTAGCTCAACCTCTTAGAAGCCCATGCAAGATCCCTCATCCTATCAATGTGGGACTCATTCTCAATACACCTCCTCACGTGTCGCGAATTTACAAGCTTAACACGTGGACAACACAACTAGGTGACGTGGAGTGTGTGTAACCATTGTGGAGTGTGTGTAGCCATTTGGCTTCACATGTGAGACAACCTGCTCTAATACCATGAAAAAAGTTAGGATTCACCATAAAATCAATTGGCAATATAGGGAGCCTAACCTCTTATAAGCCTGGACAAAGTCCTTCCTCTCATCAATGTGGACTCATTCTCAACACTTAATGTTGTTTTGCTGGGTTAGTGGATTGGATTGCCATCTTAATTGTGTAATTATGATTTTGCTTCAAATTGTGGTTGTGTTTTTGGGATGTCTTCCGTTTCCCTTTTTTCGTATTCAACTACAAAATATGTCCGCGCTTTACTGCGGGATTGAATGTATTAGCCGCAACAGGCATGAATAATCTCTACACAGAGTAATTTAAAAGACGGTGTAGCACCTAAGAACTAACAAAGTGAAACTTTGTTTGCTATATATGGATATCCATGGTATAAAAAAGCATTCATTTGTAGATCGTTTACCATCACTATTATACTCATACTTTCAAGTGATCAGGCTACCACATGGGGAAAACACAAAAAAAGAAAAGCAGGAAAGTAGAAGACATAATATTTGACCATGTAATAATAAGTTTATGAAAGAATTGCTAAATTATCTCACAAATTCAATCGTTAAACGTTGCACTGTGACCCATAATAAAGATAAGGTTTATGGCTCGTTCATAAATCAAAACAAAGAACTATCAAAGGAAAATGTTTAAGATGATGAAAATACAAAAGTGAACTGGGCAACCTTGCATATTTTCTAGTAGTAACTCAACGAATAATTTAGAATGATTCACGCGATTCCAGCTCATCTGGTTCCTCTCATCATCAGCTCTGTATTTCAGAGGCTGAGTAGGCATGTTTGTTCACATTGCACAAAATTTTATAGGAAAGGGGACAAATTAAAATATTCTAAGTAAGTATTAAGATGCAAACATTCTTAAGATGAATCAAGCAGAAAAATGAAACAAATCCAATGAAAATACAAAAGGAAAAGGAATTAAAGAAAAGTTATAATTTAAGTATTTCAAATTAGCGAGTAGTCAACGTCAATTGATCCCAAAAATTCATATCAGCTCTCATGTAAATGAGTATTACAAACTGGGTTCGAGTCAGAACTATTATGTAGTCGAAAAAGGTAATAAATAGGGAGGAAAAAAGCATGAATTTTAAGTCACTGTCCACTCTGCCATATACAAAATGAGAAATGACTTTCTTTTCTGCATAAAAATTTACTAAGGAAACAGAACTTATGCAATCATGTTAACTACAAACAGCACTACAAAAAAATTGAAGTATTTCCAAATATGTTGAAATCTGAAGGGGAAAAGATGATAATTCTTCTGACTGCATAAGATTATACAATAAATATAGAATGGTATGATCTCATAAAACTCAGTATTTAGGAGAAAGGAAGATAATCTTGCCAAATAGATCTCATAAAACTCAGTATTTCTAATCTGTTTTCAGACTTGCCAAACCATGTCACTTTAACGGAAGAATTGACAGACAAATTGACACAATGTATGAAATTGTAACAAATTTGTAGATGAGGTATGCGATTAAAATATTTTAAAGATGAAGTATGAAATTGTGACTGACCCAATAATTAAGGTAGTTTTATGTAATTTACCCGAGATTCTAAAGCAGCACCCCGTAGAGGGCATGTTAGTCCCTCCCTGTTAGAGTGAATCATCGAGTCTGGACATGAATGAGTCAATTTATCATTATGCACCCTGTCTTGATGTTCATGGGCGTTTTGGTCGAAACAATGGAATACTGAGCATGCATAACCAACTGGTTTTAGCATGACAATTATAACTGTTTTTTCACGCTTTAAAGAAAAATACTTCAAACACAATAGTTTAGAGAAAAACTCAACTCGACTGACATTATATAATAGGAGTGCGACACAAAGGAACTTCACATCTTGTTAATTAAAGCATGAAATGTTGATAGATAAAGCCTTTTTGGTTCTGTCCTTTCTCTCCTTCCAATTGAGGCCTTCAAGGGTTTTAGTATGAAACTACACGAGTTTTAGGCACGGATATGTACGCTAACCCAACTTTAGGTACATATATGACATATTGATACCATAAATCACACTAACCAACCTTTAGGTATAGATATGTACAGATAACTACCCAATATGTACAGATAACCACCCAATTTTTAGGAGTGATCAAATTATTCCTAATTTTTTTAAGGGTGTGCTATCCATATACCCTTTTCTACTTCTCACATACCCTTCTAACTTTTAATCGTCAGATCAGATGAATTAAATAAGATCAAAGAACATAAATTAAATAACTACCTAACGTTTTTAAAATTAGACCTTCGTTAGGCTACTAGCGTTAAGTAATGACTTTAACAACCTTAAGTAATAGTATTTCTAGCATTAAATGATGAGGTGGAAAATACTAAAATGGTCGCTACTAATCATCTACATTGGAGCTCTAGTTCCCCAAAATTGACTCCTTTTAGTCAAGTTAAGTTGTACATTTTCTTAACTAAATTGCATTGATTTGGAGATTCAAAGCTCCGTAAATGACTTGAAAGTAAAAACCCACTTTAATAATTGTCCACATCACAACTTAATGCTATTCTTGGATTGGATAAAATTAGTACCTGAATTATTTTTCAAATTAACACCATAACATAATTTATGGTTAACTGCATTTTACACCACAAAGTTTGAGGATCATTTGCAAAATAAGCCACGAGGTTTCAATTTTCGCATATTTCACCACATGATTTTTGTATTAAACCAATTTAACCTCTTTATCAACTTCACCATCTAATTAGACGTTGAACGTTGACATGACATAGATTGGGCCTACATTTGAGGCACATGTTGACCTTCATTTTCATACAAGATTAAAAGAGTAAAGTACTAAATGATGAAATTGATGGTCAACATATGCTTCAAGGGCGAGCCCATACTATCACATATCAGCATTAAATATCCAATTAGATGACGGAATTGACGAAGAGGTTAAATTGATCCAATTCAGTAACCACATGGTGTAATATACGATGATTGAAATCTCGTGACTCATTTTGCAAATGATTACAAATCTTGTGGTGTAAAATGCAATTAACCCTTTAATTTAATGGAAGCAAAGTTGTCTTTGCACATTGCCCAAAAAGAGAGTTTTTTAGTATGTCCGGAACATGTGTTGGTATACTAAATGTCATGATACATGGAGGAATATACTTTTTAGTGTCCCTCCGCTATATTTATAATACATTGTGTATTAGCTCGTGTTCTGAGTATATAGGAAAATTCTTGCCCCCAAAGGGTGAAAGATGAAGAGGAAATGCCTAGGCCAAAAGACGGCTCTAGTTCACCAAGGGGTCCCTTGTTTTGCATGGAAAACTTAAAAAAATTGGTGATTTTTATCAGACATTTTTCGATTGTTTAATAATCTTTTAGCATGTGAGTGAGTTAAAATAAGCGTGTAAAGGCCACACCCTAAAAAAAAAAATAAGGAGTTCTAATGAAAAGGACTTGGACTAAGTTTAATTTAATAAAAAAATCACCCTATAATATTATTTAATCAAAATGACTTCATATTTAATTATAAGGACAAAATTAATTAATATCAGGCCCACAAACATTAAACACACATGGGCTTAGTTAAAAACCCAAAACGAAATAAAATTTTTTTTTTTTCCAACCCTTGCCCCTAACGGAAACTCCATTCTGCTAACCAATTATGTTAGAAACAGACTTCCCTTTTTGGACAAATAAACAAGTGGAGTCAAAAGGAGATTCGAAGGAAGACCATTGGAACTGGAAGGCTGAGGTATCAGCGCAATGGGCCTCGCAGGTTCAAGAGCTGTTTCAGAGAAGGTATTAATCAAATCATTTTTTGGGAGATTTTTATGGTCTTGCTCTGTTTGTTTGTTGTTCTTCATTTGTTTTCTTTGGTTTGAGTTTTGTGCCTGAATTCGTTTTCATATTGGGAATTTTGTTTTGAATAGGAACCGAAGCTGCGCCAAGGAATAAGGAAGCAGCCGCAACTGCTTAAGCCTTCTCAGCAGTCATTTTGATTGCAATTTGGGTACTCAACTACAGCTTTAGAAAGCGATTATGATTCTGCACAAGTTCAATATGAAGCTGTTTGTTTTTTTATTTTTTATTTTTTATTTTTTTATTTTTAACCTTAAATATTAGTTGCTTTTTTGTGTTGGATGAGACTAATGTCAGTTGCCCTTCATAATTACGTAATGTTTTGGTGATGTGCAATGTCTTTGAATTTATAATGAGTCAGCTAATATTTATTATTCCATTTTTCTCTCTATTGTAAATTGTAATGCCTATTGTGCCCTTCAAATCTCCACAAGGTTGTAATTCAATATTTTTTTTGCATGGAAAGCTGCTCATTGAACTTATATATGCATATTTTGCAAGTGATCTTTTACCACAATGATGAAAAGGCATTGTGTTCTTGTATAACGGCGTGAGTTCGAACCCCGTTAGTGGCTAATCTAACATTTAACTTACTAACGCTATCGTTTCACTCAAAAAAAAAAAAATACAAAAACAAAAACTTATATATGCATATTTACATTATATCATGTTTTTCTCCTCAATGTCTACCAAATTAATGGCTTAAGTGGACTTCTTCAATGAAGGCAAGGCAGCAATAGACTCTTCATTCTTTTCCTCCATGTCTGCCAAATCAATCTTATAGGTTGCCAACATCCAGCAACATACATTAGGCTCCATGTGAATGTCTTTGTTCTTCGTCCAATTATATACCCCTTGAAGGCTACATTACAAAATTAGATATCCAATTATTTTACAGGATATTGATAGAATTGAACACTTATTATTTCTTGAACTAAATACAGGTATTATCACTATTTCGTAAACTTAACACTGACTATTTCTTAAACAGAAAACGGGCACTATCACTATTTTTCTTAAACTGAACACGGGCACTATCGCTATTTTTTAAACTGGACAAGGTTACTAACACTATTTCTTAAATTAACACGGTTATCATCACTATTTCATAAATTGAAAACTGACTATTTCTTAAATTGAATACGGTTAATAACGCTATTTCTTAAACTTAACACTGATTATTTCTTAAATTAACATGGTTACTATCACTATTTCATAAACTGAACACTGATTATTTCTTAAATTGAATACGGTTACTAACACTATTTCTTAAACGTAGCATTGACTATTTTTTAAACAAAAAAGGGGCACTATCACTATTTCTTAAACTGAACACGGGCACTATTGCTATTTTTTAAACTGAACACGGTTACTAACACTATTTCTTAAACTGAACTCTTTTACTAATATTATTTCTTAAACTTAACACTAACTATTTATTAAATTAACACGGTTACTATCACTATTTCATAAACTGAACACTGACATTTCTTAAATTGAATGCGGTTACTAACGCTATTTTTTAAACTTAACACTGACTATTTTTTAAACATAAAACGGGCATTATCACTATTTCTTAAACCGAACACGTGCACTATCGCTATTTTTTAAACTGAACACGGTTACTAACACTATTTCTTAAACTTATCACTTTTACTAATATTGGTTCTTAAACTTAACACTAACTATTTCGTAAATTAACACGGTTACTATCACTATTTCATAAACTCAACATTGACTATTTCTTAAATTGAATACGGTTACTAACACTATTTCTTAAACTTAACAATGACTATTCCTTAAACTGACAAGGGTACAATCATTATTTCGTAAACTGAACACTATTATTTCTTAAATTGAACACAGTTACTAACACTATTTCTTAAACTGACACGGTATTATCACTATTTCTTAAACTTAACACTGACTATTTCTTAAATTAACACGAGTATTATCACTATTTGTTAAACTTAACATTGACTATTTCTTAAATTGACACATGTACTGTCACTATTTCCATATTTCGTGAATTGAACACTGAATATTTCTTAAACTCAACATGGGTACTATAACTATTTCTTAAACTTAACACTAGTAATATCATTATTTCTTAAATTTAAGACTGATTATTTCTTAAACTGACACATATACTAACACTATTTCTTAACTTAACACGGGTACTATTACTATTTCTTAAACTAAATATTGACTATTTCTTGAACTGAACACGGGTATTATCACTATTTCTTAAATACTTCTTACCTTTTTTTGTTTTTGCTAAAAAAATTATAATGAGAATCTCGACAACAATTTAATTGAAGTTAAAACACATCGTTGAATATGATAAATGTAAACTTTCTCACATTATAGAAAATGACAATTATAAATGACACACCCCAACCGAGATCAGGGCATGCTGGCCGTCATGTGGAAGTGACGTAGCCATGTGCACAGTGCGGAAGCTAAAGGAAGTAATATAAAAGTACGAATAATTTAAAAACTAGCATACATAATGTGATAAAATAAGTGCTAGCGTAAGTAAGACACTGAATTCAGAGCATAAAGACTACAGCAGTCCAAAGAAAATGATACGACAGTAGTACACCCGAAGGTGACCCTACACTGGTGAGTGTCTGTCAGAAATGCCGAGACGCCCTCTGGGAAAACCACCGAACCCGCTAAGCTACTAGAACCTGGAGGGGCACAAAACAAAAGCGTGAGTGGGCAAAAACAAAGCTCTTTGAAAACCATTTAGTAAAATACATTCTAACCCCTCGCCGTAAAACCTGTATACTTCCCAGAAATAAATATATATACGTATGTATAAATATGCCAATCATGTTCAAGGGTATGCCAATCATGCTCAAGAATGTGCTATGTCAAAGCCTTATAATGGTATGCAAGTGCTCAGGTATAAATCACATCAATAGCATAACATCTGGCAGCCGGAGTCCCCTAAGTGACCTGTA